TCTTTCAAAGTTCATTGAATTCAGTAAATTTTTTGTTGTTGGTGGGAAAGTTTTTCGTTTTGTCGTGAAAACGTCACGGGGTGGAAGTTTTTCTTTTTTTGTGTGTGTAATGCCTGACTTAAATCAGACACAAAGCACTTGCAGTCATGCGTGTCAGGTATTGTCCAATATTCAACAAAATAAATAAAAAAGAACAACATAGTTTAACTCCTGAAAAATTAGCTCAAAATGTTAGAAAAAAAGTAGAGTTCAAAAAAGTGTAAACATTTTTGTGTATTGATATTTTTAAAAAAATTTCGAAATTTTTTATAGATTCCTTGAAATGTTTACTCTCTAAAATAATTAAAATTTTCGAAATATATCTTGCAGAAGCTGAGTTATTGAAGTTTTTCTAATATTCCCTCGAATTAATAGTAATTATACGCCACGAGGTACGATAATAAAATTACTCATACGCAGTGGTATATCAAAAACGAAACGTGGCTGTTTTAATGATTTTTGTTCTAAGGTGCATGAAGCGATGACTTTTTAAATTCTATTTTACTAAGCACCAACAATGCCTGAATTTTTGTTTGAATGCCAATTTTTCAAGGACTAACATTTTGGGGATTTTTTAATTTTTTTGGAACATAATTTCTTGGATTTTTTTTTTTTGAACATAATTACGTAGAATTTTTAAGGACTATTTTTTCTAAACACCAACATTGCTTGGATTTTCTTGAACACTAATTTTCAACCACAACAACACTTTGAGGATATTTTTTAGGAATATTTTTCTAAGGACCACAACTTCGTGCATTCTCTAAGGAATTTTTTTCTAAGCATTGACATTGCTTGGATTTTATAGAACACTATTCCTCGAAGGACCAGGACATCGTGGATTTTTTTTTAAATACATTTTATCCAAAGACCAACAGGGATAACAATTTTTAATTAATTCTTTTTGTGCCAGGAGACAAAGTAGACATATTAAATATAATATAGGGGTATACAGATTTTTCTAATTGTTTTAGAACCTATTCTTTGAAATGTATACCTTCCGAAGCAATTTAAATTCTTTAAATATCTCAAGCAGAAGTTGAGTTATTGAAGTTTTTCTGATATTCCTCAGAATTAATAGTAATTATACGCCACAATGGACGATAATAAAATTAATTATACGCACTAATGAACAAATGGAAGCGTTTACAGATTAATGCATTTTTAAGCCTGGATTTTTTTAAATACTGTCTTTCAAAGCTCCAAAGAAGCGTGAGAATGTTGTTCCAAGTTCCAGTAGGGAGTGAATTGCATAAAGAATATTATTCTTAGGGTCAAGATGGGGCGAATTATTTAAAAATTAATTTAGTTAGGTCCGGAAGAGTGAATTGTTCTAAGGTCGTGCAGAGCGTGCATTATTTAAAAACAATTTTTCTAAAGCCTTTCAAACAGAGGATTATTTAAATTAAATTATTTTCTAAAGCCTTGCAGGGCGTGTATTATGGAACAATATTTTTCTAAGACTTTCACAAAGAGGATTATTTCCTAAGCTTTTGTTAAAGTATTTTTTTCTAATGCGTGAGGTTTTTAAATTATAATTTTCTTTGAGCCAACAGAACTTGGTTTTCTAAAAGAATATATTTTTAGGTCCTAAAGATCGTGCATTATTACAAAGATAGTTTTTTAACCTCCAACAAAGCTTGGAACATGTATAGGTAATTTTTCCCCAGGACTATCAGCTCCTGGGGAATTTATAGGGGACTTTTCCAATGACTATCAGTGCTAGGACATTTTTCATGGTCTATCAAAGCATATAAATTATATAGACTATTTTTCAGAGTTCCAGAGAATCACAACAACAAACAATACATTGCTAATGATTTTTTTTTAAATTTTTCAATGACTTAGATTTTTGAAAGTATTTTTTCGAGGACCAGGTGAACTTTTATATTCAAATTATATATATATATATATATATATACATATATATATATATACATATATATATATATATATATATATATTTAAAGGAACAAGATACCGTGGGATTTTAAATAATAGTTTTCTAAACATTGTTTAGAAAAAATCAAGAAAAATCTTAGGTTGGATTATTGCAAAGAATATTTTTCTAAGGGTTACTATAGCTTCTAAGGGTTACTATAGCTTGGGTTATTAAAATATTTGTTACTAAACTATTCAGGAATATTGTTTTTAATGTTCTATAACTTTCTTTCTATAAAAAAATTGCAAGAACTAGTACAAATAACCTAATTATATGCTTTTTTTCTCTTTTCGCCCATTAGTGCGTATGATTATTATTAATTATGGATATTTTTAGGAAATCCTTTATAACTTTTTTATTTTACAAGCGATTTAGAAAATTTAAACGCATCTTAAAAGAGAAGATTCCATTTTATCCACGAAACATAAAATGTACTACTTCCTTCTCTGAAAGTCTTAAGATTTTAGATGATTTCTTGAAGCAAAATTAAAAATAAATTATTTTGAAATTGTGTATGGAAATTATGTCACATTTTTTTCACAAAAAATATTAAAATCTCTGCAAAACCATGCAAACAATGACACTTTCACTTTGCTAATTTACATATGGTCATTATTTTAATAACTTCCCGTCAAATGTGTGTGGTTGCTGAAGCTGTCATTTGACCAATTTTATCTTTAAAAAATATGTATTTTTTTGTCTCCTCATTTGGTTTGTCAGCTGTCATTTGGTTTGTCATATCATATAGGTAATTTGTGAGTTACATAAATATATAATGTAGCTTCGTTGGCCATCCTACAAACCAAACCATACAAAATTAAAAAAAAAAAATAAATTTTTTTATAAGCTCAATCTCAAAAAGAAAAAAATCACTGATCCTGCAAGACCTGCAAGAATGTATCAATATAACAATTTTTCCCTATGATAGTAGTAAAAATTAGTACTTTCTGGCAGACAAAATAACCTTCTAATATTTTCACTTAGCTATTGCCTTTCATTCAATTCTTAATTTGCATTTTCTCTGGGTCTATTAGCACCTTTTCTTTTTCCTAGTTATTGACTCATCTCCGTTATCATCTTCATCAGCACCATCCATTCATCCATTGCTGACTTTATTTAAATAACAGCTTTCAACGCATTTATTTTCCCCTTTACTTTTTTGTTGTTGCCATCTTGAACAAGGTCACTTATCATTTGCTCGTTAACTTAAACAAGCCTTTGTTAACTGAACGAAAGAAAGAGAGACAACAAAACGCTATTATATTATTTATGACAAATTGACTTCTCCCACCATTTTGCGGATATGTTTCAATAATAAAAATCATTTATTAAAGCATTTAATTTTTTTTTTTTGACATTTTATGCCTTGAAGTTCAAAACATTTTAAAAACGAAGTTGAGATGAAGAAGAAACAAAAATACAAAAAATCATTAACAAATCATTGATTCGTCATTTGAAGGTGTGTACACATCGATGCGGTTGGCTTCTACAGCTTAACACAACTTCACAATTGTTTCATGCTGCTGAGACTTTAATAAATAATTAAATTTTGAGTTCGGTAATATGATTTCGCGAGATTCGTCACACTCACACACAAACATAAATTCTAATTAATCAATTTTATTTTCTTAAAAAACAAAAAAAAAAACAGTATGAAATGGAATTCCAAAGAAAAGAAACAAAAGAACTAATAACATATTTTGATTGTGCAAATTACGATTTGAATAAAAGGAAATAATATAATGGTAAAATTCTTTATTATAATATATAACAGAACATTATGTTTCATTTGAAAATAGATAGATATATTATAATGCTCCATAGAATTACTAAATGATAAAGGTGTAGTATAGAAATATTCAGGAAAAAGTGGAACTTGGAAAAATCTTACAAAATTTTTTATTGTGTGTATTGATAAAAATTACAAAAATATACACCATTTTTTCTCTGAAATGTCTAGTTTCTAAAACTGATTTTATTTTCAAATTCTCTTCATAAATAACCGAGTTATGACGTATTTTGTAAAATTGCCCATAATTAATATTAGTCATACGCACCAATGGCCAATATTTTAAAATACATAAATAATGCATAATTCGTCTGTTATTTCAATTTCAAAAATATACAACGTTTTCTCATAAATGTCTAATTTCTAAAACAGTTTTAATTTTCAAAATCTATTTAGATTTAAGCGAGTTATGAATTATTTGCAAAAATTACTAAAAAAACTATTTTTAAGGTGTTGCGTCGATTAATTAAAGAATACATTTCAATGGATTCACAAGGCGTGGATTATTTAAATTATATTTATTAACGTCCCACAAGGCATGAATTATCGAAAGAATATTTTTCTCATGTATTTATATAATATAAGGTTACACAAGGCGTATTTTATGTAAAGAATACTTTTCAAGGGGTCCACATGGTGTGGCTTATTGAAAAAATACTTTTCAAGGTTCTACAAGGCATGGATTATTTAAAGAATATTTTTTAAGATTCCACAAGGCGTGGATTATTTAAAGTAAATTTTTCTAAGGTTCCACTAGACGTGGATTACTTAAAGTAAATTTTTATAAGGTTCCACAAGGTGTGGATTATTTAAAGTAAATTGTTCTAAAGCTCCACAAGGTGTGGATTACTTTGTGAATTTAATTCTACGGATCCGCAAGACATGGCCTTATTAAAGAAATGTTTCGAAGCTTTCTCTAGGCGTGGATTATTTTGTGGATTTAATTCTACGGATCCGCAAGACATGGCTCTATTAAAGAAATTTTTGTTAGAATCCGCAAGGCTTGGATTATTTTTTTAATCATTGCTGAAGACATGTAAAGCCAAATTAATATAAAAAACTCCTAATATATATATTAAAAATTTAAGTTTACTTTAAATAAAAAAAATTAACATAACCTCAATCATTTAATCCCTAAAAGTATGCAATACGTTTAACCTGTTAACAAATACAATCCTAAATATTTTTTTAATTACTAATTATTTTTTTTATTTTTTTTTCAAATTTTAGTTCCGGCCGACGGCAGTTGGGTTCCAATGCCCTAGCCACGTAAGTATTTGGAAATTATTTTTATTACTATTATTATTTAAATTTAAGAATCATTGAGTAGGGATTAATTTAAGACGTCATCTACCATTGAATATCTGACCATATGCGTAACATGGTTTATAGGACCCTACGAATCTTCTACTCAATTTTACAAGAGACCAGAAGCAGTTCTTCTTCGGACGGCTCACAAGAAAGACGCATTTAAAGAGTTAATCGTGGCCTACGGGCTTAAAAAAAAAAATACAAAATGACACTGAGTTAAGTGTTCGCTTAACTTGCCACGTGTTTTTTTATCGAACTAAGCGAAAAATGTAAGAAAATCTCGTTTATATGGTGTATGGTCCTATACCTTCTATTCTAATAGAATGTCGAGTAGCTGAAGGAGGACCTGCCTTCAGTTTTTAAAGAGATAAACAAAAAGACCAGAAGATAATTTCCACTACAAAAAATATGGATATATGGAAAATAGTCTTCTGATCCTAGGGTCAAATCCTATAAACCATGAAACAGATATTCTATAATTTTTATAGTGGAAACCAAATAAGCTCTTTGGTATCGGGTAAAGTGGAGATTGGTCTCAGAATATGTGGTCGACAAATATTAGGAAGACAGTTACAATTTGAGACTGTTCATGCCTCCGTTCCTATTTCTCTTTTTTACTTTTTGGTTTGCTTTGAAATCTTCCCAAACTGTCATCTCTAAGCATTACAGTTTGAAAGTCTTTGCCTGGCAGTGACTAGCAAAGACATAAACACATATTTTCTATACTCGGCAAGAAGAAGAGCTTTAGTTTGTCATCATTGAGAGTGGTGGCGCCAGTGTTGACAAATAACAATAATGAATGGTAGGTGTCTTTGCTAACAATTCACAATAATAGTGCTTTAGTACGCCACATAATCGTGTGGTGGTGTTTATTGTGATTGGAATGGTATTTTCAAACAGTTGTTAAGAAAAAAATAATAAAAATATTGAAAATATTAAAAATGATAAAAAATATCGAAAGAAAAGTTAAAAAATTAAAAATTATTATATATATATATATATATATATTTAATTAACAAATTAATTTTTAGAAAATAATGTAATATTTTGATCATTTATTTATTTTTTTTTTAATTTTTTGTAAATATATAAAAATTATAAAAAATATTGAAAAATTATTTTCAATTATTAAAAACTAAAAACTAATTCTTTGAAAATTTGATATTAAATAATTAACTTTTTTTAATATTTTTGATTTTCTATGTATATTTTTTATTAAATTTTGTATTATATTATTGTATATTTTTCATTAAATTTTAGATAACATTTTAATATTTGTAAATATTTCTTATTAAGTTTTCTTATTTTTTTTGTTTTGTTTACAGTCAACTGTACAGATCATCAAGTTTCAACTCATCGGGACGTAGCTCCAATTGTGATACCACAGACGAAATGTATGACTGCAGTCTGGACAATGTACAGGATATTAATTATAAGGTGAGTCCAAGAATAATTTTTTAATAAAACATAAATAAATTAGTAAAAAATAAAAAAAAATCAAAAATTTATAAAAAATAAAATATAAACCAGTAAGGAAAGTAGTAAAGCCGACTATATCATACCCTTCACCACTTTGGGTATATTCAACAGATGAATCCTAACAGACGTCGCATTTTTAAAGGACCAGTAAAATGAAATATGTCATTATGCAACCGATACTAAATTTTTCATTTGGTCAGATATAGAAGCTATATCTGAACCGATTTTCAGGAAACTTAACATACATCATTCTAGACCTAATTCATTAAGCTGTGCCAAATTTCGTGCTGATCGAAAGATTTTAAGGGACTTTGGTGCAGCATTTACCTTAAATCAGACGAAAATATATATGGGAGCTATATCTAAATCTGAACCGATTTTCAGGAAACTTAACATACATCATTGTAGACCTAATTCATTACGCTGTGCCAAATTTCGTGCAAATCGAGAGATATATATAGGGACTATGGTGCATTTTTTACATAAAATCGAGCGAAACTATATATGGGAGCTATATCTAAATCTGAACCGATTTTCACGAAACTTGCTACCCATCATTCTAGTCTTAATTCAGTATGCTATGCCAAAATTCGTGCAAATCGAATGATTTTCAGAAACTTTGGTGCTCCATTTACCTAAAATCGGGCGAAACTATATATGGGAGGTCTGGACCGATTTTCTCGAAACTTGGCAGACATCACTTTAGGCTCAATTCAGTGCGCTATGCCAAATTTCGTGCAAATCGAGAGATATATAGGCCCTTTGTACACCATTTACATTAAATCGGACGAAAATATATACGGGAGCTATATTTAATCTGGACCCATTTTCAGGAAACTTAACACACATCATTCTAGACCTAATTCATTGAGCTGTGCCAAATTTCGTGCAAATCGAGAGACATATAGGGACTTTGGTATACCATTTACGTTAAATCGGACGAAAATATATATGGGAGCTATATCTAAATCTGAGCCGATTTTTAGGAAAGTTAACACAGATCATTCTATACCTAATTCATTACCCTGTGCCAAATTTCGCGCAAATCGAGAGATATATAGGGACTTTGGTGCACCATTTATATTAAATCTGACGAAAATATATATGGGAGCTATATCTAAATCTGAACCGATTTTTCCCAATTTCAATAAGGCTCGTCCTTGGGCCAAATAAGTGACCTATGCCAAATTTCATCCAATTCGGACTATAAATGCGACCTGTATTTTGTTTACAATTTAACATGGACAGGCGGACAGATGGACGGACATGCATAAATCGACTTAGAAAGTGATTCTATGCATATTCTCAAAGGGAACTATGGGTCTATCTCGTTTCCTTTTGCCTGTTACAAACATATGCACCACTGTACCACACTGTGGTACAGGGTATACCAGAGTGTGGTGAAGGGTATAAAAATAAAATATAATATATCTCCCATTGGTAATACAAATAGTCGAACTGAGGCAATTTAATATAAAAATTAAATTTCCAATAAAAGTTAAATTTTCATTAAATGTCCAAATAAAAAATCTCCTGTAATCTACCCTACCCCTGGCCTGCCCAACAATGTTGAGCTTCAGCCAAAAAATCATGGCTTCATGGCCACAAATGACCACGTCGAGGCTTAGCTATTGGGCTATTGTTAGTTATTGATGTGTTTTGTTGGCCTTTTTTTATTTTGGTTGTCATTAAATTTCTTTAAGCCAAATACGTCTGCATATCACCTGGCAATATTGTCCACCCACACATTTACAGTCCAAACTATTTGCTACCAATTTTTTTCTTATCGGTTTTGAGGCATGAAAAAGAGATTAATCACATTGGCAGCTAAGGTGTTTCGGGTTTTCTTCGATTTGTTGTTGTTGTTTTTTCATTTCTTTGGCGAAACATTTACCAGCAAGGTCATTGTTTTCTTTTTCGTTTACACCCTCACTTCTTCTACTTTTTTTCTCTAAGTCATTGGCCATTTGTTATTGTTGTTTTTCTTGTTAGTTTTTTTTATTATTGACAAAATACGCTTTACATTTTGAAGTCAAGTGACTGGCATTTAAAGGTGGAGGTTGGCGTTTTTTCGTTTTACTTTTCTTCGATTTCCCATATCGATAAGACTGACACTACTACCTCTGTTCGTAATTTTTGTTGTTGTTTTCTGTTTCGAGTGTTAAAAAAATATAATTAAATTAATGACTTTGAATGGATTACAAAGTTGTTTAAACTGTTATTGATTAGAAAAAGAAGACAAAGAATGAGATAATATATTTTCTTATAAAGGGAAATAAAAAGATATTACCACAGCTGAGGGGAAGAATGCATTTGTTATTATATGAATTTTTTTTTTCAAATATTTAAGCCCATGGTTGAAGGGACAAAAAAAGTACGCCCACAGCTGTGTCAAAAATCTTAAAAATATTTAATATTTATTTTAAATATGATAGAAAATATTTAGTTTAATATGATGAAAAATCTTTCTTTAATTTTAAAGGCCCCAGCTGTTATATATAAAATAATTTTATACATTTTGTAATAATTTATATTTTTAGCAGAAAGTGTCTAGTTTTCATTGATATCTATATGTCGGAAAAATATTAATATTTGCCCGAGTTATGAGCAAATTGGTAAAATATGCCAATAATTAATAATACTCATACGCAACGATGTCCAACTTTTAAAAATTCAATATTTATGAAATTAAGAAATATTTATAGAATTTTTTTTTATGGAATTGTATGATTCAACAGATCTATAATTTGAAATTCTACAGAACAAAAGTTCAGGGAGACAATTTCTCGGTAAAATCAGACAATTAATGGAAATTCAAGTGAAAATAGTCCCAGAAAATAATTTTAAAAGAAACCACACCTGAAGTAGTCCCAGAAAATAATTTTAAAACAAACCACGCCTGAAGATAGCCCCAGAAAATAATTTTAAAAGAAACCATGCCCGAAGATGGTCCCAGAAAATAATTTAAAAAGAAACCACGCCTGAAGATAGTCCCCGAAAATAATTTAAAAAGAAACCACGCCTGAAGATAGTCCCAGAAAATAATTTTAAAAGAAACCACGCCTAAAGATAGTCAATGAATAACAATTTATAAAGAATCCATTTTAAATTGAAAAATGCACGCCTAAAAAATGCCAGGAAAATTATTTTTATAGATAGGCTTTGAAACATAAATGACCCATTAAAAATAATATTTCAAAATCCACGATCGATGATAACCCTTCGAAAATGAATGAAAAAAATTCTAAACATTATTATGTACATCATGCACTCTTATAGATACTCCTTTGAGAATATCAACACTTATAGCTAAGCAAAAATATGGAAATATGAAAAATATGCAATGAAATTAGTAGTTACTTTTAAAATTCGATCAAACGACCGATTTCATAGGGAATTCGTCCCCATAAATGTTTGTTCTGTGGCATATCATATTGAAAATCTATTGGATAATCCATTTCCATCATCAAATAATCGAAATTCCGCTTAAATTCTCAATTATTGAAATTTTTAAATTTTGAACCCCATAGCGTATGAGTATTATTAATTTTTGCCATATTTTACAAATATCCTCATAACTCAGGCAAATTTTAATATTTTTCGGAAATATAGGTATCTACTAAAACTAGACACTTGCAGCTAAAAATAGAAAATATTATTTAATGTTTTTAAATTTAATAATAACCTTTAAGACAGGCTTACATTTAAATATTCCATTGAAAGAGAAAAATATTTTCTTTAAATTATTTTATTTTTTACATTTTGTTCCTTCTATTTTCAAGCAAACATTTTCAAATATTTAGGTCTTTGAGGTATTAAAAATAATCTGGTATTATTGCGGAACCTAGAATTTTTCTAAAAATAGTTTGTTTATTTGTGTAAAACGTTTAGCCTACTTTTAGGCTAATTGACAGAAAATATGCCATATTTTTTGTTTCTCTTCTTTTTTCATTTTTACCTTCAACGAAAAAATCAATAAATTTTGCAAAACAAAATTATTGTTTTGCTGTGAAGCAAAATACAAAAAAATAACTGAACCTCCAGACATCCATGGAACCAGACACCAGCTGTTCGGGTTGTTTTGTCTTTATTGTTCAATTCCCACAGTCAATGGCTGTAAATCAACAGCTCACAGAGAGAGATCAACCAGAAGGGGTATTATTAAGTCAAACAAATTGCCAAGAGCTGGGCGCATTTTTTCGCAACTAATTTTTTCAAACCTGCAAGACAAAATTCGAGACCAGTGTGAACGGAGGAGGTTCGATGTGTGGGTTGTCTTAAGGCAACACACCCACAATGGTGGTGGCAATTATCATTAATTTTGTTTAGCGGTGCTGCGGAGAATTATTCAACGTCTGATTGTTATTCGGTGGTGGTGGTGGTTAGGCCACAGTTTTTTATTTGTGGTAAATTCGTAACGAAAAACTTCAAATTAGCGAATTGATATGCATTTGGTGTCAATTTTATTGATTCCTCCTTTGCTGTTGAATTTCCATTTCGGTTGTGCGGTTCTTGCATTTTGCCAAAGCGGAAAACCACCTTCTCGTCGCGTACACGTGTTCAAAATTTCAAATTATGCTTCCTCTCTCAGGCCACCTCAGACACACATGCAGCACGCCTTCTTTTGGCTGCCACACACACACACAAAATTGCCTGTTGAGCTGCCGCCAAACAGGTTACCAAAACGAGAGTTAGCTGAATTGTCGTCATTTCCTAAGCCAGAATTAATGCGGATTGTTTAATCGTACCACAATCGTCTTAAGAACTGTGGGTAAACATAAAAAACAATTGCATAATGCACAACGAACGAGTTGGCTTAAAGCGGATCAATAACCAAACAACCACTGAGCGAATGGCCCAAAGTATTTACCTTCCTCACCTCCGCCTGCATCTGGCAAACGCCCTGGCAAAACTTAGCCAATTCAACAACTTTATGCAAATTTTTGTTCTCTTACATGCGA